CTTTAGAGCTCCCTCCAATAGGTGCCATGACGAAGTATTCCCGCTGGCCGCACTTCTCCTCCTATTTTATTCCAATTTCATTTAAAATTGTATTTTATCCAATTCCACTTTAAATTGCTTTTATCAAATTTTAGTAATAGTTTGTTTCTGGATTTCTGCACTGTGATACGGCCCAAGGGCTAATCAATAAAGACTGAATTGAATTGAACTGAAGAGAGTTTCAGTTGGGAATATTTGTTCAGAAATAGTCAAACTAGGTTAAAAGGTTTAAAAATCCTCATGGCCATAAAATAAGGGAAATTGCGTTATCCCATTCTCCGGGATTTATCTGGCGGTAGCTTGTGAAGATTTCCCTTTCCAAAGATGAATCTATTTTGTCTTCTTGCCTTTTTTTTTTAGTATTTACTTTTCTGTCCCATCCCTGACTCCCTATGGCTTGTTTTCCATCTGATTTGAGAACAACACTGATAAAAGTTGCCACTCCCCTGACTTCAATTTTCTGATTAGGGCAGCCTGGGAAATTCCCAACACAACAATCAGTTGCAAAGTAGTCACCCCATAGCCACAAAGAGCTGGGGTGACTCAACAAGGAAAGTACCACCTGCCATTCTCTTTTGTATAATCTTTTTGCCATCGAAGTCCATTGTGAAGGATAAGATACCTGGGGGAAAGGGGAAATTCCACCTTTACCAGAAAATAATGCCACAGTACAGCTGCAAAAAAACCATCAACAACAACAAAAAACCTTTGTGGCATCTTTGAGAATAACATTTTGTTGGTTATTTTGTTGGAAGCTAACATTTTGTTGGAAGCTTTCCGCCTTCTCATATTCAACCTTCCTCTCCTTTTTAGACTTTTATCCCAATTTTTTTTCTTATACAACTCATGGTGATGACTGTATTACACAGTCCTTCTTCCTCCTCCTTTTCCCCACAACAACCCTGTGAGGTAAGCTGGTCTGAGATGGAGAGTGATTGACCCAAGGTCACCTAGTTGGCGATTCAGAAAACCAGTTCATTTGTTTTTCCACTTTCAGCAAAAAGGTCATAAAAGGTGTCCATGATCCATTAAATCTAATCCACTCAAATTATATGCTGATTATAAACATGTTAGATTCTTTGCTCTTTATTTGCACCAATTAAAACCTTCTGAATTCAAAGCCACTGTTCCATCTATAAAAAGTATAGTTAGTCCTTGACTTATAGTCATAATTGAGTCTGACAATTATGGTCATAGTCGTAAAACAGGTCACATGTGGCCTGATCCAATTTTATGACCTTTTTTTGCAGCAACCATTAAGCAAACCCATTGCTTGCTAATGGGCTGGTTTTTTTTTTTTTTTGCCAGAAATCAGAAATAAATGCTAGTTTACAGGAAAAAAAAACATTGTAAATTGCAGTTACATGACTGTGAGCCATTTCAAATGGCTGTAAATGTGAGAAATGATCAAGGGGAAGGGGCGACATGCAACTTCAAAATTGGGGTTGTAAATAGGTTTTTGGGGCTCCACTGTAACTTTGGTTATTAAGCAACCAGTTGTAAGTTCAGGACTATCTGTATTTATTTACTTAATTTTTATTCACTTACTTGTTTACTTATTTATTTGTACCTGGCCATTATTATTTTTACAAATTACTAAAGATGGCAAACCTACCCAATGCATCTTCCTCCCCTAGTTTCCCAACAACAACAATTGTATGAGGTGTGTTGGACTGAGAGAAAGCAACTGACTCAACTTCATCCAGCGGGCTTTCGTGGCTAAGGTGGGATTTGAACTCAGAATTTCCTGCTTTTTAGCTTGGTGCCTTAACCACTAGGCCAAACTTCTCTCACTCTTTCTACCTTAAACATAGATTCAATATGCAGTTCATGGGTTTATTCAAAGTACACAGGCTAGAAATTTTACCTGTGAACCAGAAACCTCCAATTCAAACTTTTGGGATCAATGTTTCTAAAAGAACAAGTTGGTTACTGTCACACAGCATCTTTGTCTCATAGCACTTCAGCACTTGTTTCTCCTCATCTAATCTCTTACAACTTCTGGATACCAATCCAGGAAAGGCTTCTATCCCTTTCCTTGTCTGTTGATATATGCTAATTATGTATCATCAGCATATCAATGACGCCTCAAACTGACAGATGATTCCTCAATGATTTCTTACAGATTTTGAATAACGTGGGCCAAGCCCTCTGCAGCCCTCCATCTTGGAACAATATGGGCTCAAATGCTCCCTGCCACCATGGATCCTGTATTCAGGCAAGATGATATATCTGACTCTCAACCTTTGCAAATAGTCTAGAATGATGCTATGTTGGTCATGGGCTTAATAGGATAAGGAGGAGTATGTTTATCCCACCCAAGTTCTAACAGAATTAAACTAACAGGGCTCAATGGCTGTTTCTGTGCCGTTTTCAGACCTGAATTCTAACTAAAAGGAATCTAGTGAATCAACTACATTTAGGATTTTCTGTTATCACCATCTTCTCAAAAATCTTCCCTAGAAAAGGGAAGCTTGGAGATGATGTGGCAAATGTACATCATGGCTGGATACCCATATGGCCACTTCAAGAGGAAGCATTGCCACCTCTTTCAAATATAATGGCAGAGCAGCCTCCTTCAAAAAACACCTTTTGCTGCCCCAGAAGCCCACTTCATACTACAGAACATCCTATCCACTTCATTGGATCCGGAAGTATTGCGCTTCAACCTAATCATTGTGACTTAGTAGCATATATGAACCAATATTATGGCTTATTTGGGACACACAAGGCTAACAGATTTAAAATAAGGATGGTCATGTTTTTGTGTTTTTGTGCAAGACACTTTTGTGCAAGTGTTTCTTGGCAAGAGTTCACAAGTAGCTTGTCATTTCCTTTGTAGGCTACCACAGAGTCATCTAGCTCAAGGTGACTCAGCCGGTCTCATGCCCAAGGTGGGGCCAGAAACCAGGGTCTCCCATTTTCTAGCCTAATGCCTTAACCACTAGACCAAACAGGCTCAGACAATCATTAGGTGTTGATATAAAGAAAATCATGATCCTTTCCTCCCAAAATTCTGTTTATACTTCATTTTCCCCCCTTTCAAATACCCCATTGAGATACATCTGTAGGTCACCTTCTAACACCACCTGTGGCTAAATAAGGGTGTCTGGAGCTTAGTAGCATATGTCAGTGTGGAAAGGGTTGCATTTATTAGCAGATACTCTCACATACTTTCAGGATCTTATACAGCAAATAAATGTTCAAAGAAACACAGTGTTGAGGGTTCAATCTGAAGCAGGAACACAACACTGAGAAGAGCCATGCTTATTGCAATATGTTTACAACAATTCATGTTTATAATTGGTTGCCTGCTTTGCAAGAAAGAGGGATCCTGAACAATGAAAAAGCAAAGGTTTTTTTTGTAAGCTACAAGGTGGAAAATGTTAGTAATCTGATTTGTTGGCCAGTTTGGAGAAGTCAGATAAATCAATATAGCTAGAGTTAGGCAAAATGGTCCTTTCAAGAAAGCAGAAAAGTCAGGGAAGTCCACTGTGAAGGAGATGAAAGATTGTCGGTTGATACAGGACAGATGGTTGGGATTTCTCCTTCAATAGGAGTGTTTTTCAGCCTTGGCAAGTTGAAGACATGTGGATTTCAACTCCCAGAATTGTGGAAGTTGGAGTCCACCCATCTTAAAAGCATTGAGACTGATAAACACTGCTCTACAATGCAATTCCTTTGTAAGGCTACCTTTGAGCTGTACTGTGAGCCTTCTATTCTTCAGTTTAATGGAATTGCAGGAGGGCTTTGTCTGGAGCAGGAAGGGTCAATTTGGGCCTGATGGGATTAGGCAAGGAGATGAATTGGGTTTGACCCTGGTCATAGCTAAATGAGGTGGGGGGAAAGGATGCAGCCTCCATTTGTTGGCTACATTTATTTTTTCACCTACACAGCCCAGACACTTTTAATGTGGAAATGTGGTTTCAACCTCAAGAATACAGTTGCTCAAAACTGAATTGTTGAATTCTCTGAACTTGGGTACAAAATACCAAGAATTCACACAGAGTCTTTTTTTAAATATTTGAGGGGCTGCCACAAAGAAGAAAGGATCAACTTATTTTCCAAAGCGACAAAAGGCAGGACAAGAAACAATGGATGGAAACTAATCAATGAGAGAAGCAACCTGCAATTAAGGAGAAACTTCCTAACAGTGAGACCAGTTAACCAATGGAATGGCTTTCCTTCAGAAGTTGTATGTGGTTCATCACTGGAGGTTTTAAGAAGAGACCGGACAGCCACTTGTCTGGAATGGTATACTGTCTCCTGCTTGAGTAGGGGGTTGGACTAGAACATCTCCAAGGTCCCTTCCAGCACTATTCTGACTTAAGTTTTGTAATTTATAATTGCTTAAGCATCACACACATACTGTATTCATTGCCCTGCTACATATATTGAGGGTTATACTGAGATTGAGGAAGAGCCTCTTGAGGTGATAGTGGCCTACACAGATTGAGGGTCTTCTAATGCAGACCAGAAACAGCTTGGCCTTTTAGTCTTGGTCAGCAGTGTCCTGTCACACCTTTGCAATGGCACCTCTGCTTTTCCTTTATCTGCTGCTGATAGGTGTGGACACTGATGCACTTGCTTCTTTTTACTGCAATAACCCTTTGCATGCCAATTCTTCTCCCTGGGAGTGGTATCCAGACCTGATTTGGTGGTTTCTTTGTTTGGCACCTCTCTCTGCACCTCCATTTTCCCCCTCCGGTCCTAATTCCCCATGTTTTATTTTGTGCACCACCTGGATTTTTGCAAGGCATTCCTCGGGCCCGCAGGGTAAACGAAGTCAACCAGTTAGATGTTTGTAATGACCGTCTCGAAGGATTAGGAAGGTGGGGTGTTTTTAGGAATCATCCCCTATGATCCCCTGAATCCCAACCCCGACTCTCAGACCCACCCACCGGAGCGCGGCCACCGAAGGCAAAGGGGAGGAGCAGAGCTCTGTCGCTTTAAAAGGCGGCTTTGCTCAGCCCAGCCGACTCGGAGGAAGCGAAGTCAAGCCCCACGGCTGTAAATCCACAGCTTAGGAGGAGGAGGAGGAGGCTGGTGCGGCGCCGCTTCGCACGACCAACCTACTCGCGTGTGCGGTAAGCGCTTCCCAAGCCTCCTTCTCTTCTCGCGCGCGCCCTTCTGCCAGAGGTCCCTACCGCGGCCTTCTCCCCGCCAGCGAAGCCAGCTGGCTGCCTCTTGGGTAGGAACCGAGCGCGCGCGAGAATCCGCAGAGTGCGCGTGTGCAACGGCTCGAGGCGCCCTTCTCTTTGCCGGAGGGGGGGGGGGGGGGGGGGGTGGGGGGGGGGGGGGGGTGGCGGCGGGCGAGCCGGGGGGCCCCACTTTCCCCCCCCCGGGGGGGGGCAGAGATGGGGCGCTGGAGAAAAAAAGATCCCGCGGGTTACAAGTGGGGCGGGGATGCAAAGCCCTGGCCGAAGCAAAAGGCGGCACCTCCCCACCCCGCCTCCCCCGGGTCAGTAGGAGCGGGGATGCTCCGGCCGTGCCTGAGCAAAGCTTGACGAGGATTCCCGCCCTTTAGCAGCCGAGGGGAGGGGGGGAGAGGGGAGGCGGGGTGGGGGGGCTCCTAGGACCCCAGAGGTCAAGAAGTGGCCGAATGGCGCCCGTTCTTGCGACGCGTGCCGTTTTTTTCGCCCTGGCCGGGGTTCCGGCACGACGCGCGCCCCTCGGAGCCCGGGAGAGTGAGGGAAGCGTCTGGCAGGGTTCGGGTTCCTGAGGGCTGAGACATGCGCACCAATGTGCCTACCTATTGTTTCTTTTATATTTTTTAAATTTTTCTTATATGTATCCATGTACACTATGTTTTTACTTATACCTATTATCTTGTAAGCAATTGACAAATTAAATAAATAAATAAACAAACTGGGTGCCTCCAAAGGATTGGCCTAGCTCCTGATTTCTGCCAAGACTGTCAGCTGTGCAGGATGTGTCAGATGTCACCAATAGAGGAGAATATTTGTAGTTTGGGGTTGAAATGGAGGGGGGGGGGTGTCCTTGGTGCTTTCCGAGCTTGCTTGTTTTCTTGCAGACGTTTCTTTACCCTGAACTAGGTAATGTCTTCTAGGGCAGAGGTCCCCAAACTTGGCAACTTTTAAGACTTGTGGACTTCAACTCCCAGAATTCCCAAAAGCATAGCTGGCTGGAGACTTCAGGGAGTTGAAGTCCACAAGTCTTAAAGTTGTTAAGTTTGGGGACCCCTGTTCTAGGATGTGATGTGCTTCGTAAACCATGGTTTGGGGTGAGGCGTGTTTCCAGCTAGTGACGGTTTGTCTTGCAAAGGATGGCTAGCCGGGACTTAACCACGATGGGTTTAATTCAGTTCTTTCACAGGGCTGTGGGTTTTTTTTTAAGTTAGTTTCTCTGGCCTTGCAAGTGCATCATCTAAGAAGAATTGCCATGCCCTCTTATAGTTTTAGGGCAAGCAGTGTGGGACTCATGAAGTCCACTGCCCTTCTACTGATCTTGGGGAATCCCAGGTTGACAAAGGTGTATTATTTCATAAAGCCTGACTGGATGATGAATAGCCCAGATAAGTTTATTTTTAATATAATTGACTGGATTGTGCAATGCTTTGGGTTTGATTTGCAGAAGAGACTTTGTTTGGAATGTACAAAAGCACAACCGGCACATTTCCCGTAACAAAGTAGCTGTGTCTGTACTTGCTGTGAGGAGAGGTCCTCACTGCACAGCCTTAATAAATAGGAACATATCTTTCATTTTTGTAATCAAAGCGTAGATGAAAATGGATTTACACATGTAATGATAATTGGACAAGACTAGATGAGCTAAAAATTGTGCAGACCATAATTGTGTTTCCAAAATAAGGTTCTGTACATTCCCGTACAGAAATTATGTCACAAATTATTGTGAAAAAGTAGTACTCACTCTATTTTCTAATTCAATCTTGCTTGACTCCAAATCTTGCTTTGTCTACCTATTCTTGATATCTGCTTCTCCCATTGAGAATCAAGTTAGATTTGATGGGAGGAACAGGGAATTTGATTTGTATACCACCCCTCTCCTGGCATCTTAACTAGCTAAGGTAAAAAATATTGATTATATTGGAATGACTGAGTTCCAGTCCTCCATTAGGCATGAAAGTAAATGGAGTGACTTTGGGCCAGTCCCTCTTTCTCAGTCCAACCCACCTCACAGAAGCAGGAGTATTAGTTGTGTTTGTTGCCTTGAATTACATGTGAAAAAGATGGGGTAAAAACCAGTACAGGTATTCTTCATAAAACAATGGCACTGGGACCAGAATTTGTCATTAAGCAACATAATAATAAAATGTAGTGTCGTAACTTTATTTCTGAATAAACCTTTAATATAATTGATAGGACTAGCATGTATGTGTGAGGGGAACCTTAACCTTTACCTTATAATTGATAATTATTTTAATGTAATTTGTCCCTTAATTCTGTTTGGTTTTATAATTTTATTACTTTATTGACATTAACCCTATGCTATTTTGGCTTTTTCTATTTTTAATAGATAATCATCAAAACCCCAAAGAAATAATGATTTAAGACAGCAATTGTGGCTTAGCTACAGCTTTTATCAATCACAGTGATTTCCTGTGACTGTGGTAATTTAATTCAGTAAAATTTGCTGAGCCAAGATTCCCCAGAAGATTTAAGGAACCAAAATAGTAAACTTGCTTAGAGTTTTGAAAATAATTTCTTGTAAGATAGCTGTACTAAGATCATTTAGCTCTCTTAGCCACTACCCACTTTCAGTTTTATTTCCTGGAATAGTTTTCCTGATACTTAGAAACTGAATCTTAGCGTAATTCTGACCGCTTACTTCCTTGATAAATCTGGTCTTTGCTACCTGAGTCATGCCAGGGAATTTCTGATTATAATCATAAATATGGTGACAGATTTTGCACTGTTGTTTCACTTATGTGGACTAGCTTAATATCTCCTATATGAATTGCAATATTTAGAATTGCTTAGAAAATAACACCCACAAAAAAACAGCAAAGTTATATGACAACAGGTTATGGTGGTAATTTAAGTACTGAGTATAAAATAAATATTAAAGTTTTATTAATACATTTTGCTTGATTTACTGCTTTATTTTTTAAAAATCATTTAAGTCAATTAACAGTTAATAATTGAAGCATCAGTAATGATAGCACTATAAAACCAAAACAAATTAACAAGTTCGCATAATTCAAAGTAGGAAAAGACCAAGAGAGGTAACAAACAATCTATTTATATTTATATATTTACACACACACACACACACTCAGTCTATATGAATTTTGTATGTATACTGTGTATATACATATGATGACAATAAATTCAAATCAAATATATTTCTAAGTCTCATGTATATGACTTTTAATTGGGTGATACAGAGTATTATGGGACAGCAATTTTTGAACTAAGGTACCACCAATGGGCTAAATTACAGAATGCGCCAAAATTTGGGACCCACGGCTCCTGTGGGATTGAAATTTGGCAAATTTGTGGTCGCTTCAGTACTGCCACACCACCACCTGGAGGTTCAGTAGACCAGACCTGGAGCAGCCCTCTGGAGGCCAGATAGACTGGCCTTTCCTTTGGCCCCTGGAGATCAGGTAGACTGGTCTGTCCCTGACCTTCCACAGCCCAGATAAACTATTCCCACCATCTGCTGCTAAAGAGCAGTTATGCTCAAGCTGGCAGGAAGTCAGAAGTCACTTCTGCGGCATGTGGATATTCACAAAGTAAGTTTATTTACTTCTTTTTTTTTTTGAACAAATTTTATTAATTTTTTAAAAACAATACACAAACAAACAAAACAGGATGTAGTAACATAAAATATCTTTTCTAGAAAAAAACAAATAAAACATCTTATTTAAAAGCAAAATAATTCCAAATTATCACATTTCTATACAAACACAATTTAATATCTATATTTATCTTATCTGTTCAACTTCATATCTTTTCCCAACTTCTCTTTATTGCTCCCTTTCCTTCTATTTAATTGTATTTCTTTTGCCTTGAATTATATATATTCATTGTATATAGTTTCATTAGTTCTCTTCCACATCCTTTCAAACATAGACAAACATTACACAAAACATAAATACATAAAACTTCTTTTTGGAAAGTGGCTTACCCCGGGTTAAATCTTTTTGTACAGACATAAATCAAATACTATTTCATATCTTATTTAACATTCTATATTTTCTATATATTTTCTCTCTCCTATTCACTCTTTTAATTCTATTTTATTTATTTCATCTCAATTTAAATAATTATACTTGCATCTTTTGTCCGTTCTCTTTCAATCATCTATTTATCCTTTCTTTCTAATACAATATTTCTCCTGTAAACACTGGTTGAAGTAGGACAACTTTTTATCTTTCCCCTAAATTTAACACTTAAAATAATACATATTTTCCATATTGATTCTGCTTCATACATTCTAAGTACTACATTTCAAAATAATAAAACAAGCAAATAATATTAAATTTAATAAGTAGTAATAAAACCCAAAAAAAGGAATATTGAGTTTATGATATAATAAGAACAATGTTTCATAGGAAATTAAACTCTTAAACATTTTCATAGCTTCCCTTTAATGCATTATTAACTCATATAATATTTTAATTTTCTAACTCAGTTTCAAATACGAATATCTACGATACAATCTTATGTACTTTTGCAGAATCATTTTTATAAAATTATATCTTACCCCTTATCTCTGAAAAAAACCTGTTTTTTAACATCTTGTTTAAAACCTTTATGACTTCTCTTTCCTTTTCCCCTTCCTTTCTTATCAATTCTAGCTTTTTGACCCCCCCATCTCTCAAATTTCACTCTCTTAGTCTTCCCTTTCTGTTGTATTTCTCTTTTCTGTTGCTTTCTGACATCATATCGATTTTTCATCTTATTTTTCTTTTTCTTGGTTGCTTTTTTAAGTCCTAAGTTCACCTTTTCCTTGCCCCCCTTTCGCTTTTCTTCCTCCACTAAGAGTATTTGCCCATTAAAGATGGCTTCTTCTTCTTCATCCCAGCCTTCCTGTCGTTGTATTTCTTGATAGGTAAAGATCGCCATTTCTAAAAAGTGGAAAATAGATCCAGAAGAGC